TATAATTAGATAATTAATTACTTATATTTTATTAGATATTAGTTTAAGAAAATATTATTTATAGATATTTATAAAAGATTTTATAAATATAATAATTATAATAAAATTATTATAATAAAATTAGTAAAACTATTATAATAAAACTAATAATATTATTATAATAAAATTAATATTATAATACTAATTAAAGTAATATTTAAATTATAATAAAAATAATATAAGTATTATAATAAAAGTATTATTTATAAAATTTCTAAAATATATAAAAATAATATATTTTAGCTAGTAAAAAGAATAATTTATTATAGTTAATTGATAATAGTTAATTTATTATAATAATTTATAATAATTTAATAATAAAATTTAGTTAAGAAAATTCTAAAAAATATCTTTTATAAAATAAATCTTAATTAAGATTTATTATTTTATCTTATTAATAAATTATTTATTATATCTTTATTAAATTATATTCTAATTAATTATATTATTATTATTATTTATTTTTAAATTAAATTCTTGATAAAACTTAATAGAAAAATATATTCTTATTAATATATTATAAAAGCTCTTTCAATATTATTATTATAATAAAAATATATATTTTTAATAAATACTCATATTTAAAATTAATTTCATATTAAAAAGATAATAATACTAATATTATATTATATAAAATATATTTAGAAAAAACTTGATCAATTATTTTTAAATTTTATATTAGAAAGTTATTTCTTAAAAATTAATTTTTAAAGAAAAAATAATTATTAAATTAAAATATAATATCATTCTTTGAATATTTATAATTAGTACTAGTTATTATAATAAAAGAAAAAATAATAAATATTATTTTTTTATAAACTATTAATAATTAAATAATATTATTAAAAAAAATTAATATTCTTTATTATATATTAATAAACTATTAAATATTTTTCAAAATATTAAATCTTTTTTAACTATTAATTTTTTAACTAAATATTAATAAATTAATATAAAATCTAAAAATTAACTTAAAATAATTTTTATTATCAAATAAAACTTCTTTGAATTTAATGTTATATTATTTAATTTAATTAATATATTAGTTATATTTTAATATTTAATAAATATTATATTTAGAAAATATATTAGCAAATTTATCATAATATATTTTAATAATATTATTATTTATTTTAATAATAGATATTATAATTATTATAATATAATAATATTTTATTTATCATAATATTATAACTTAAAATTATTAAAATTAAGTTATAATCTAATAATACTTATTTATTATAATATTATAATAATTAAAAAACTATTTTTAGTTTACTTTAATATTTTTCAAGAATATTTATAAAATCTTAATAAAATTTATATTTTAAACTTAAAATATAATTAGATAAATATTATTTTGATAAAATTTCTTTATTATTTCTTAATTATATTATTAATAAAAATAATATTATATCTAGTCAAGATAAAAAAGTATAAAATTTTTTAATATCAATTAATTTTATTATATTAAAAAGATTTATTAATTTAATTTTTTATTATCATTATTTTATAAAAGATTTTATAAAAATAATATTATATTTATATTCATTATTTTATAAAGATAAATCTTTTATCTGAATAATAAATAATAAATTATTTTTAAAAACTAAAATAATATTTTATAATTTTATTAATATTAATTATATTTTAATTTTAATAAGTTATTTATCTTATTTATTAATATTTTAAATATTGAATTATATTTTAAAAAGATAATAATAATTAAGAAAAAATAATTATATATATTAATAGAAGAGTATTTTAAGCAAAAAGTAAATATTTTATAATAAAATTAGAATATATATTAGATAATCAAACTCTTTTAATTCTATTTATATTTTAATATATCTTTTTAATTAATAATTAATTATTTTATACTTATCTAACTATTTAATAAATTAAACTTTTTTCTTATTAAATTATAATATTAAGAAAATATAATTTTAATATTATTCATAAAAAAATATATATTTATTCTAATATTAATTCTCTTTTTAGAATTTTATATATATTTAATAATAATAATCATTTTAAATAAATTTAAACAAATATATTAATATTTATAATTATTTTCACTTACTCATATTATCAAGTAATTTCTTAATTAATTAATTTTATAAATTTTTAGCTAAAATTAAATAATATTTTATAAATAAAAATTATTTTTTTAAAAAAAATAAAAATAATTCAAAATAACTATAGCAAGTTATTAAAGTAATAGATTTTAAAATTATTATATATAATAAATATTTAATTAATTACCTTAGAATAAAAAATACTTATTATTATATATATTATTAATTATAGATATATAAAGATATTAATAATTATATTGAAATATATAATATATATTAATAATATAAGAATAAAAATAAAAAAATAATAAATTGATAATAATTATAGTAATATAATTATTTAAGAAAATTAATATTAATTTTATTAGATTACTATTTATAATAAATAAAATTATTATTATATTATAATTACTATAAATTATTTTATTAAATAAACTAAAACTAAAGCTATTTTAAATATTATTATTAAAAGTATAATATTATTTATTTATGAAAATATTATTTATAAATATGAATTTTTAAAAAAATTATATTAAATAAAAATATTATATTTATTAATAATATAATTATTGAATTATTAAATAAATAACAAGTTAAATATTATTTATCTATATTATATTATCTGCAAATAAATAATTTAGTAGAATAATTAAATAAAATAATTTGTATTATATTAGTAAAATATATTTAATTTTATAAATAAAATTAAATTTATTATTTTTTAAGTATTTTATTTATTTATAAAATTATAAGATAGAATACTATATAATTTAAATTATTTTATTTAGTAAATAATTATCAAGTAAGAATATTCTTGAATATTTAATTAGAATTACTTAATAATTAAAAAATAACTTTAAAAATATAGATAATTTAAAGAATATATGGTAATCATCAAAAGTAATGTAATGTTTAAATTTTTTACTAATTATAATTAGTAAAAAATTTAAGTATTACATTATTTTTGATAGTTACTATATTATATAATTAATTAATTAAAAATAAATTAAAAAATAATTTTATAAAATATTTAAAAAATATAGCAAAAATAAAAAGAATAATATAATTATAATAAAATTATTTAAGTATTTAAAATAGATGATAAAGTTTTAATAAAGTATATAAAAATATAATATTAATATTATAATAAATTTGAAGAAAAATATAAAGAATTCTATTATATATATAATAAATTTAATAAAAAAGCTTATAAATTATATATTTTAGATAATAAAATTTTTATAATAAAGATTATTTCAAGCTCTATATAAATTTAATAAATTAAAATTAATTATTATTATATGAGTTTTACAAAATAAAACTCTTAAAAAACTTCTATTATCAGTTTATTCTAATTTTTAATCTCATAATCTTGATTATATTATTATAATTTTTTTTTATTATAATTCTTGATAATTTTTTTTTATTATTTTTTATTTTTATTATTAATTATTAATTTTTATTTTTAATTCTTCTCTTTATTATATATCTTATTTTATATAATATTAATTACTTATTTATTACTTATATTATATTATTAATTATCTTAAAAAATATATTTTTTTTCTTAAATTCTAATCAATATTCTCAATTATATATAATAAAATACTAATTTAAATATTATTATACTAATTAAATTATTATTATACTTAATATATTATCAATTTAATTAATATAATACTTAATATTTTACTAATTAAATTATATAATTAATAAAAGATTAGATTATATTTTATATAAATATAAATTAATATAATTCAAACTATTATAAAAAAGTCTTTATAATTAATAGATTAAATAAAATTCTCAAGTTCTTTAACTAATAAGACTTGAAATTAACAATTAATAAATCTTTAAGAAGTTAATTAATATTTCATATATATTCTCTTTTCTTTATAATATCTCTATTATACTTTGTATTTGATTTTAACTTATTTAATTAATAGAAGTTATTTCTTATATTCCTGTTATTTATACTTTTTGATTATAATTACTTATCCAACTAGTGAAAATAATATAATTTTGCATTATACTTGTTATCTTTCATCAAGATCACAATTCTTATTAATAATTTATCTTATTTATTACTAAAAAGCATTTTTATTCCTGAATCATATCTAGTTTAATTCTCTCAATTAAACACAGTCACTGATACCATTCTTATATTAATTTTATTTAATTAAATACTATTTAGTTACTAAATTCCTTATTCCCATAAGAATAATAATAATAATAATATTAAGACTTGTTTAATTGTTGAATACTTTAATGATCTTTTCATATAATTATTAGTTTCCAGTAATAAAAAGTGTTTCCATTTCGTCAAAATTTCACAAATTATTAATTTATCAACATTGTATCAAAATGCCAGTTCAAGACTCTTGATGCTTGGATGATTTTTCTTTCCTTTACAAATCTCAATTTTTTGATTTAGCATGAGAAAATTATTATTATGCTTTCTTTTTAAAGAATCTTTCTGTCTAAGTTCACGTTTTTTGCGCTTTTGAGCATATTCGTAGCTTCCAGACACTTGCAAACTCTCCCTATCTGTTTCTATTTTCATGACATATCACAAATGTTAAGCGCTCTTGAACTGTGAATGCTAAACACGTTAAAGTTGAATACTAACGCTAAGTTCCAATCACTGATTAACAATTTTATTGGTTCAGAAAAATCTTGTGTTACAGTTTGGTTCGGTTGAAAATTCGAAAATTCGGTTTAACGGAATAATTTACATATGCATGCCTCCGAAAAACGTTTGGTTTACATGTTAGATGGATTTAATAGTAAAATTCGGATTATCGAGGTAATTCTACTATAGCTGAAAATATTTTCAAAAAAATGGGGAATTCGAATTAACGGGGTTCGGATTAACGGGGTTCACTATGTATTATCTTCCGCTCTCTTATCAGCTGATTTTTTACTATTATCTAGTATTTTAATCGCTCGAGACATAGTCTCTTGCAAGGATTTAATGGTAGACTGCAAATCGGTATTTTGTTGAGCTGTTTGAGGCTGTGAGGATGCCATTGTAGTTTTTATCAAATCTTCGATTTCACTTTTAGTCAGCCCTGATCTGTTAGTATCTGCATATGGATTGGCTGTCGGAAAAATTGGAAAAGAAGATGGTGGACTTTTTTAAGATAGTGTAAATTTTTCTGCTTCAGCTAGTCTTTTGTAATATTATCCTGTGTATCATAAAATTTAGCCATCATTCGAATATTATACTGGTTCATAGGATTTAAACCACGAATAAATTGTTCTCTTTGTTGTTCAGGAGTCATTTCAGCTAGTTTGACATGAAAATAAAAAAGCTTGAGCCGGTTGATAGGCTTGTATACCACATTAACGAGATTAAAGATGCTCAAAAATATAATGGCCATTCCAGTATACCTCAATGGTCTTTCACTCTTCTAATTTCAGGTCGTACTAATTCGGGAAAACTAATGAGGTTCTTAATCTCATGCTTGGAAATAAGCTTTATCGAATGTTTAATGGTAAGAAAGAAGGAACACGCTATATCAAGTGTGATGAATTACTATTTTTCGGCCATAATCTTAAGGAGCCGAAATATATGTATCTCAAGTCAGCATATCAGATAATCGCGAATAGTCCAGATGAGCTAGTTAGAATTGGCGTAGTGTGTATAAAATCATTGATAAGCATTTATGTGAGCATAAATTCATTGTTTTCGATTTAACCGTACCCCGCAAGCATCCACACAGGATACGTGTTGGTTGGGATATGCCGCTCCTTAGTGCCAGCTCTTTTTCGCCATATGTAGTTACCTCTGGTAACAAATAATAGAATACTTTGTATATGCTAACCCTTCACCAATCATAAACTACGTGAGTGAGTGGTAAATTTTTTCTGAACCTCTAGGTTATATTCAGATTCTCTACGTCGCTTTGCCCACAAATTTCTTTCACAATTGCTGGAATATGTTTTCGGTTATATACAGTGGCGACCAAAAGTAATGACTCAGGGGCTAAATTTATTAATAAGAAATAATTTTTATTTTTATATTAAAATAAAGTTTAT